TAATATAAATATATAGATATTATGTACACATCAACCTACTCTTCATCATCGTCACCTATAACAAATCAACTACAACAACAGCGATCGACGACCACATATTATCAACAATTGCCAACAGAGAATTATTTGCAGCCACAAACATTAACATCGTCGTCTATTTCAACAAGAAATCAAAATCATTCTCCAACAGTGAATATTGATAAAGTGAGACATTCTAGTTCTCAATATCAACAACCACAATCCTATCCCAGTTCGAATCATCGGTTATCACCCAATATGACACAAACAACAACATCTGCCAAAACATATACAATAAATAATTCAGATAATGATTCCTTTAATATTCGAGATAATAGTGCACGTGGTTATCCAGTAAATTCAAATTTAAATCGTTACGATACATCCGCTTATTCGTCTTCGTGGCGTACAGGGCCAACATCATACGGTTTTGAATCAAAACGTTCCGACAATGATTCTCGTTCAAACGAACAATATCGTTCATCAAATAGTCGTTATGATAGTGGTGATGGTGCTTCGAGTTATCGTCTTGGAGTCAGTGGTAACGGGGCACGGTCTCATTCATATGATGATTTATTAAATGAGCACACAAGTCGTTCACAAACATTTTATAATTCACCAAGACAAGGTAATGGCGGCGGTGATGTTAATCGAAATATATTCAGTACATCACATCAGCAACAATTCGATGCTATTGACAATGAGTTGATTGTAAAATCAACCGATTTATCAGCAACACAAGAACAAGAAATGTTAGAACTAATACGAACAGCATTTCGTAAATATGATATACAAAATCAACGTGAAATAGCTGGCTTTTTGAAACGTGGTGCAGATAAAACATTTCAGTCATGTTGGCACTGTATAGTTGGAAAACAATTTAGTTCATATGTTACACATGAAATGAACGGTTTTATTTATTTAACAAAAGGTCCTTTGAGTATTCTATTATTCAAGAGTGGATATTAAACAATTGGTTTGTACAGAGTCGAAGCGGTTTTTACTTTTGTTTAATGTAGATGCCTACTCTCGCTGATTCACTACTTTCAACTTATCAAAAATATCGTGATGCTAGTAATCTTGATATGAGAATGCAGTGGAATTTTAATTTCTAGTGCCCATCGTGTGTTTCAGGATTTTCTTATTTGCCTATAAAAGTTGTTCTTAAACATAATAATACTCTTCACTTTTTCACATTTATTTATCGCTCTAATTCAAATTTGAGAAGAAAAAACAATACGGTTATTTTTTTTGATATTTTTTATATACTTGAATAATGTCGTCTTACAAAACATCGTCTACTTTTTCTGTTTTGTGAAAACAAGAGCAATATTATTTTTCCAAAATATACTCACCCCACATACTCTCGTCCTTAATAACTGAATATATGGGTCAATCATGAGCGTATTAAATTTGATGATAAACCTCCTATATATCAAGGAATAGTGTAGTGCGTTGAAATGAGTAACACTAGTCTAGGTAAAATGATAAACAGAAGGGTGACTACAGAGCCATGAAGAAACGTTAGTCAAATACGGAAAAATTAACAGCGACGTTTAAAAAATGAAAATTTTATTTAAAGTTATCTCTACTAAGAAATTGATTGTAAATGTACTATTTATATTTAGATGGCTGTATTTTTTTATTTGGTCTATACAATTTCTCTCTTTTTGTTCTTATGATATTTATGTATACTCTTATCGTTGTTGTGTAAGGACAGTACTCAATAAAAGTAGGATCATTCCTTCGAAACCAAGATAGTTAATCATTTCAAGTTTCAAGTTTTGTGTGGATGTAGACTTACTCATATACTAATGAATAAATTTGGTGTGTTATGTGAACATTTAAGTTTTTCTTGTTAAAACGATTGTTTTTAATCTAAAGTGAATCCACATATTCAAAATGTCAATTTCAGTCAAAAGTGGCTTTAAAAGAAAAGATTTTTGGTCAAAATCAGTTGAAAGAGACTTCTATTTGTTTTCTGATGACGTAATTATTTTTCACTAATTTTTTCCTACTATACATCATTTGATACAGTTTGATCAACTAGTTCCAAATATGTAGTTTGGTTTGATTAAAAACGATTTTATGTCAAAAATCTAAGTGTCTTAGAAGGCTCATTGTGAATCCCAGAAACATTTGCTCGTGTTTGTGCTAATACTAAGTTGAATAGGATTTTCAATACGAAAGTTTGTCATCGCCTAGTTAGCCACGAAAAAAATATTACTTTCAATGTTTTCCTAAGTGTTTGCGTCATTGTTAGGCAGAACGTTAGTTTTGTAGAGTATTGTCTATTTTCAGACAGAAACGGATAATGTTGTATGATGTGGTGAGAAAAGAGCAGGGGACCGGAAACGGTTTCTGCAAGAAAATTGCTCTAATATGATTTTGAGCGCAAACCATCTAGAATTATCAGAAATGCTTCGCGCTTCACTTCACAACCTGTTTAAACTTCCAAAACTTCCTCTGAAAAGTGCAGAGAGAAATCTCTTATAATTTTTCATTACTAGCTTAAACAATAGCATCCATCCTCTATCGCAAGCTTTTTCCATAACTTTCAACTTCTTAATAAGAACTTACAGATAGGAAGATAGAGACTTTCCTGCGCTTCAAAATGAACTATAAACAAAAATATGCCCATGAAAAGCGGTTCTGGAAATGTTGAACTTAGATATTAGTTTTTGTATTTGGAAGGGCGTGGGTGTCTGTGTCAGAAATCCTTTACCCGTTACAAATGACTTTTTTCTAGAAAGTATGTTTCTAAAAATTCTTCTAGAAGATTTTCCGCGGTACTCCACAGGATATCTGGAAACCTTTTCTCGTGAATATCTTCACAGCTGCATGGACTGTGTGGGGTTTCTTAAGATAATTAAGAATATGTCCTTTAAAGTCGGTTAAAGATTTTTGAGAAACGTTTAATCTACAAAACGACAATGGATTGTTCAAGAAAATACGGAAGAACATGAAAAAAATTCAAAAGCCAAACACCACTTAAGATCTCTGAGAGACTCCTGCAGCCCTTGACGATGCATCAATGAATATACTGCACATTTTCCCAGAGACGATGCTCGGACCACTGCAGAATCAGTATTTTCACCACTATCTCAAGGTGATTTACAGTACTAAGTTTTATTTCGGTTGAAAGAGCAAGTGTCGACCCCAATTTTCTTCATGTGAGTTTCGAATATTTTTTCCGACAGAACTGGAATACTCTGAATAACAAAAACTAGGTTTTCTTAACTTTCAGATTATCCAGTTTTGAATTTGCAAGAATCTTGTCACGATTAAGATTTTATAGTTTCTTATCAAGAACTTACATGATTTCAACAGATTTGCCTCCCTGATGCTTGTGAGTTGTTGTCTAAGCGTATCATAAGATCTTGCCAGCTCTTGTAAGATGTGTGAATCGACCAATACTGTCTCAATCAGAGATGGGCAATCCGTCAGGGGAACGCTACCCAATGGATAGGTATCGGGTATGGTAGGGGTACAGGTGGGGTTTTGAAGATCAGGTCCTGATACCAAAACCTGTACCGATGCACATCTTGTGTCTAAATCCAGAAATTACAGGTCGTGAAATTATGCACTCTGAAAATATTTGTATTTTGCTCTTGCTAATAAAATGGCGCCATTTTTGTTATTTTCCAGTCATTTTTTGCCGTCTTCTAACACGTGTTTCTCCTCTTATTCCTTCTCAGAAATATAGCCTTGTGACTTTATATTAAAAGGTACCTGAAGCCTTATCTTTTTCAATAAAATCAAGTTTGTCTGGAGAAATTTGGAGATTTTTTTTCTTTCAATATTCTACATACACATTGTGTCACATAAGTATTTTTAGATACAGACAAAGAATACATTTCTTCCATTTGAAAGGTATAAAAAAAGTCGACACAACTTTATGGTTATCATAAGCTATTGATATCAGTCAGTTATAAAACCCTTCCATTCTATAAATATTTAGCATCTAAAATTTTGTAAATCGTAAAATATTTTAGATAGCTTTATGCCCGTTCTGATCTTCGCAACTAATGCTTCAATATTTTCAACTTAAAATTTTATTATTCTCAGTTCGCATATTGTCCTTTCATTTGGAAGTACGCTGTAGAAAAAAGTGTATGACAAAATAATTCTATTAAAAAAATGGTCATATCCGTTTACATGAGGATTATTTCGTTATCCATTTCCTCCATAATCATGAAGCTTAAAAAATATCCTTTGAAATTAAGTGATTTTCGGCCATACTAACTTTAATAGTGTTATTCGTTCTAGCTATTATTGATTTTGGTAATACAATTTGATTTAGAAATGGGAGTGATTAAATGAATAATTTGTTTTACAGCAGTTTTGAATAACTCAGACATAATCTGTCTTTTGAACAATTTATTGTCAACGTTTCGACTTTTGAAAAGTCATTATCAAGACCATGTGTTTTCACGTTTTCGATAGTAGTTTCACTTCATAAATTTGTATTTCGTCTTGATAATGACTTTTCAAAAGTCGAAACGTCGACAATAAATTGTTTCAACGATAAATTATGTTGGAGTTATTCAAAGCTGCTGTAAAACAGATTATTCATTTTTGGTAATATACTTTTGCAAATCGAATTTGGTGGATTGCTCTCGGGGACTTTCTTATTTAAATTATGGGCACACATGGAAGCGGAAAAAAGTGGTGATCACCCAATTTGTCTTCTTAAATTCACCACTGAGAATAGATCTTTCTAAGAAGCGTCGATGGAGCTCAAACAAAAGAATGTAGGTTTCAATTTTTCATCATTGGACAATCTAAAGTACGTATTCCAAACGTATATGGTTTCTAGATCACAATCCAAGAGTTAGGGAATTGAAAATGATTCAAAATGACAAAAATGATTGACAGGTTTCTTCATCCCCACAACAGTCAACATCTGAAACTTATATCATCGATCAGCATTCCACTCTAATAACAGGAACAAAGTGATTATACCCTAGACAAAATCCTACAAACTTCCTGTCTATTTCTTACTAGAATCTTACAGGATCCCAACATTTAGGAGCTACCTAATAACTTTTTAACAGAATCCTAAAATGCTAGGATCCTACTAGGATTTCGCTTAAACTTGTTTAGGATCCTAACAGAATCTTAGAAAATCCTATCACTTTCGGGAATATCCGATTTCATTAGGGTTCTGTAGGATTTTGTTAAAATTCTAAGAAATTAAAGCAAAATGGCCTTGAACCATAAATCATTTGCATTTTAGTAAATCAATAGTAAAATGAGATATTGCAGGGCTTATCTGTATTTAAATGAGCTGAGATCTCTTCAGTGATTAACTTGTGCTGAAGGCTACTTTTATATTAGTTTCAAATTACCCAAGCTGTTATTTTTTTGTTCAGTTACAGAGTGACCTTACCCTTCGGAGTAATGTAAGACATATATTTGTATCGTAGCGATGTTTACCATCGACATCTTAAAATACGGTTTTTAATTGATGGCAGTGGGTATACAATGTTCTCTTGTCTTTATCTTATCTCGATAGGTAAAGCTCATCATTTTAAAATCATGTGCAATTGACACCTGTTTGTAAAGTGTTATATATCCATTCTCACATACGTTTATTCTCACCTTTCATTAGGACAAGAGGATTGAATCAAAAAAAGAGAAGTATAACGCCAACACATAAAAGCATGAGTATAAGTTCTTATCCTTTCTTATTTCTGCGTTTTTTTTCTCAACCTGTAAATATTCTTTTCTTTTTTTTTTGTTATTTCTTTTTTTTACTACAAACACCGTTCTAGTAAAAACCACGAGACATATTTTCACAGCTTTTGGTCAGTCATGAAATATTTTTGCCAGTGTTGACACACGATAGAAAGCATCACCTTTTCCAGAATTGTATTTAACATTCACTAATCTGCTCAATAGTTAATGGAGTAATACGCATTACTATTTTTACCATGCACGAACACGTTCTAAAAAATGACTTCCAGACAACTTTTGGTACTTTCACTTCGTTCGAGTGTGTGAAAACCGATGGTGACGTGCTCACACTCTAAATTGAGCACGTTGAAACGAGATAGAAGTACAAAAAAATTTTTATGGGATATTGTGAATTCTTTGAATAAATTGAATTTAACGTATGCAAACACTTTAAAAATATCTTTCTAGAAAGTCTAATGTATTTCACGAAAAAATTTTTCGTGCGAACAAGAAATTAATTTTTGAACGTATGTCAGATATTTACAAATATTTTACGAGTGTTCCATTGTTTTTTGATTACAATTATATATTTATCAAATGATTGCGTATATTTTTAAACCACAGCTAATAGAAAATAGAAGGATTGTCGTCTGTGTTTGATAACCTATGTATACAAAGGAAAAAATAGAATGATTAAAATGTATAAAATAACTGTTAAACCGCAATTTAACCTCAGAAATTAGTTTAGGTGAGTTGGATGTACGTAATTTAAATTGTACAAACTGATCAAAGTATCCGTATGACCTTCAATTTAGTTGCTTTCTGTCGTATATGTTGGTAACAAGCAGTTCTACGTATTCGATTAGTGGTCATCCACAACTTATTCGTAGATTTCCAAACTATCTTCTTTCTAAATTTGACCATCAGCTTTCTTTATTTTTCATGCTCACTTATATGCAGAAAACACTTCAGAGATTTTGTACTTTGTTCGTCCCTGACTCTTGTTGCAAAATGTGAAAATCATTTCACTTCAAAGATTGCGTATTAGCAAAATTATAGCACAATTTCTAAACAATAAATGACAGTTCTTTAATTGTAATGAAAAAAGTTCATAGAATACACTTAATTAAAGCATTTTTCTCTCTGTAGTGAAGAGAACAGAAGATAATCCCATACCACAACCTATGACATTTCTATGGAGAAAAAGAGTTGAAGGAGTGATTTCATCAAGTCAGTAGTACATGCGTCCATTTAACCTATCAAACTTTGTAGTTAGATAAGCAATAAAAAGAGGATTCTACTCTCTAAAAAAAGGTGTATTAGTGCGCTGTTTCCTGATAGAAAAGTAAAACGATTTAGCTTTATTGACAAATGTTTGCTTACTATGAGACCTTTTTAAACGTTTCGTAATGTTTACCGAACCCTAGAAGGCTTCGTACTTGAAAGAATGTTTTATACTAATTATGGAACTCAGTATGCTTCCCTGCAAATCCTTAATCATTCAGTGGAAATCCTCAGAGCTTTTTTGTAAAACAATTTGGAATTTGGTTGGCATTCTTTCAAGTACGAAGCCTTCTAGGGTTCGGTAAATATTACGAAACGTTTAAAAAGATTTCATAGTAAGAACAGGTTTAAACATTTGTCAATAAAGCTAAACCGTTTTACTTTTCTATCAGGAAAAGGCATGGTATACACACCTTTTTTTTAGAAAGTAATCTACAATGTTCAGGTTTGATATTTCGAATTAGAATTTTTTACAGTATTTACAAATTGACCCAAAACTTAATGTCGAATTTAGGGTTTGTTTTCGCCCCGTTCAGTTTTTGCGAGGTGTCTATATACTTGCAACAGAAATTTTCTCAACCAGCTCTGCTGCAAAAAACATTGACTTTTATCGTTTAGACGCCTTTGTCTACTATTTGCTAAAACTCGATCAACTAGATTGCAAAACGTGAATTATTGTACAGAATATAGACACAGAACAGAGAATTTCGTTTTTCAGTTTACTGCGCAGTTAAGTTTCTGTGTTCGAATCTCTATTCGTACAAAACTGATTTTTTGTGTTTCGATAATTTTAGTTTAGAATACTATAAAGAAATATTTTTCCGTTTGTATTCTGACAGAATAAAGCTTATATCAACAATATTTACTTGCTCTGTTTTAAGAGTAATAAATGCGGTATTCGTATTTTCCAAAATCAGTACTCCAGTTCCTGTGACTATTAGGATTTCCTAGAAATCCAAGGACTAACGTAAGATAATTCTTTTTGCCGTTTGAACTTCTAAAGATCATCCTAAACACATCGGACAGATAATCTTAAATTTTCTTTCTTATGAAAAGGTACCCTCAGATCCTGACTATCGACTGGCGAGGACTGTAAGCCTTCATCGTTTCTTTGCAAAAAGTTCTTCAAAAAGCACCTGATCTTCTTCTATGTTGAAGCAGAAGTAGATAATTAATGAAGAAGTGCATCACGCTAAATCTAATTATGATAAATTAAAACGTTACGCTATAAGCCACACAGTTATTTCGATTTTCTATTGATGAACGAATGTTGTTAATGTGATCTAGAACGCAATCAGATGAGTATATCTTCCGTAAGCAAAAGCGTTCAAAAAACCGGCAAAGAATCAATATTTTGTTGGGGCTTTTTCAGGTAAACTAGCTATCAAGAAAAAAACGGGTTGTTTAGCCAACAAACAGACAGGGCATCAGTGAATCCAACATTTATATAGAGTTACGTTGTTTTTGTTTCTTTTTACCAATAAACCATTGAAGATGAAGCTGAAGCTGAATCATTCCTTTTAGCTTCCAAAGGAACTAAATGAAAGAAATTTTTTTCCGATACTGTCTTAATGTTGGCCGTTTGGGCCTGTCTAAGTATGTAGAATTTATCAGAATGACTGCTACGAGAATCCTTTGACAATGTGAAGTGATCTTTTTGAATGATTTTTGAACTTTAGATTCTCTCTAAATAGCGTCATTCTGTAGTACTATTTAACCTGTCAGTTCAACAAGCAAACACTGATCTATAAGTGTATGCAAAATCTTAGATATAAGAGAACATCCAGTGCATCATTTAATCAGCAAATTCTATGTATCTATCGATTTTGTAATGATTAATTACTTTTTTCTTTTATTTCTAGTCATGTTCATAAAGGTTTGTCACACTCAGCTCAAACATTAAACGGAAAAATGGATAATGCGAAAGATGGTGACGAACGTATGAATTTTCGAATACTGTCAGTTAATCTTCTGAAAGTAATCCCTATTCATTTTTTAGGTGACCAAAATCCAACCGATATGAGCAAGCCATCAAAAGAGGAACAATTGTATAAATTAAAAACTTATCGCGAATTTGATGAGGTAACACATATACGTTAAAATAAAAAAGGATATCTATATTCCTGCTCATTTTAGCATGCAACCATAAGATGTACAGGTATTTTTAGTGTAGAAAAACTAGACAGGTTTTATGTTAGAGCTAACTTAACTTTAATACTTAAAAATTCTGGCTTCACTTTTATTCTTTTTTCAAGCACAAATCTTAGTAGTTGCTTAGAACTAATAGAATTTTATTTAGTTTCTAGTTAACTTATTAACAAATTTATGACTAGGCGAAAAAATTTATCTTTGCCCTGCTTTGTCTTTTAGTGCTTAAGTGTGATAGAATGGGTTTTTTTTTAGAGATAGGCATTTTACACACATTATTTACTCCCACCAGGTTTTTTTCAAAAGCTCTTATTGATTTTGTAAATACTGACTTTCTTCTATACATCTGAAATTTTTTTGTAAAAATATGTCTCATGTGCGGTTTTGTTTATTTGTTTACTACTGTGTTGTCTGGTTAATATACCTTGTATACGTAAATTTTATTCATGCAGTAGCCAACCGCAAATAAAAGACGAAGAACTGACAAAGGAACGATCTGTGGATATCTTGAAATACCTTGTTTATCTGTGTATCATTGAAGTTTATGTGACATACTTTACTTTGAAGTATACAATAATAACAAGGCAAAATAAAGAGCGAAGAGGAATTTTTTTTTTTTCCCATTTTTTATTCTTTTTTGGTTTGTGGGTTTATTGACTTGATATATATGTGTATATATGAGATAAAAAAACTACATATCATTGCATAGTTTGTTGAAATATCTGAGAGAAGAACTCCTTCTGCACTCTCCTCTCTCTATTGTCAATTCAAACCAAAATCGAATAACAACAATCGTAAGATTTACTGAATAGGTTTTTATATGTGTATTTGTGTGTATGTGTCTGTATGTGTGCAAATATCAGTTCAAATCGAAGAAGAGAAGAAAAAGTCAATAAATACTCACATTCCCTATTTAATGTGGCTTTTTTGGAGAGGGATCTTTTTGACTTTTAAATGACCTGCATCGGAATCGGCTTCGTCTTTGTTGTTGCTGTTAGGCTCGGAACATATATCTCCGAAATGGTGCATTTTTTACTTTGAGATTAGAACTAACTGGACTCCTGAGTATTTGACCTTGAACGAGTTTTTAATAGACTTATTATTTAGTTTCAAAATTGTAGAGTTGAATTATCCGGGTTTTAATTCAAGTATATTAGACTACACTTGAGAAGAAGAAGACCACACTTTAGAGAAAGAAGTTTTTTAAATTTAATCTTATATATGTGACTACAGCTTTCTACAATCTCACTATCTTCATATTAACTTTATGCAAAAAGCCTATTGACTAAGTACTTAAATGGGTTTTTTCTTCTTCTAGGAATTGACAGAGCTCAAACGTGAAAATTTCAATTTAAAATTACGAATATATTTTTTGGAAAATCCACACGTTGAGCAATCGAATAGTGAGGTAAGTCAAAACAAAATTAGTTTGTAATCACATCTCTTTTAATAACTTAAATTGTTATTTATTTTAGCTTATCGAACAACTACGAACCGAATCTGAAGTTTTAAAACAACAACTCAATCAAAAAAAGTAAGTAACTAAAGATATTAGCGTGCATAGTTGAATTTGAAATATTTTGACAAACACACCAAAAAAAAGAATCCTCGTGTCGTTTTTCAGATATTTTGAACGAATTACACTTTTCTTATTATGAAGAACAGATATTAGAGTTTGAGAATTTTTGATGAGTGTATGTAACCGCCACCTCTTGAAAAACTTATGTCAAAAAAAGAGCAAAGAACGACTATAGTTTTGTTTGCTTGTTATAACCAATTACGTCCGTTCCCACATAAATGTTTGAGGTGACAATGACACCGCAGAGTTCTTTACACTCAGTGTACGACTTCGAAGATTAATTCTAAAGCAAACTGCGTACCGATTGTCTTTTATTTGAGACATTTCAACTGTCTTATACTGAGAGCACTGCTAGTTATAACCACCTAAAGTGAATAAACTTGTTTCTTTTTTAAATATTAAAGAAATAAATATATAATCGAATAGAACCTGGACATATAATTCAAAACGTAGTAAATTATAAGAAATCGATCAACGTTTATACTTCTATTTTTCTTCTCTACGACAAGTACTCCTTCTACTTGAAAGGAAAAAAAATTTTTTTCTTTATGAGTTGTGGTTTTGTTGAATTTATTATATACTTCTTTTATCTTACTCTGGTCATATAAAAGAATTCCATACGTTTTTGTTTTAAACACTTTACTGCTCATTTATATGTTTAAGACTTAAATAATGTGTCGAATATATTCGTGTCGCGTAAATGAATCTATACCTGCTAATAACGAAAGATATTTCACAGAAAATCATTGACACTCTACACATACCCTTGAACGGTCGAGTTTAATTAATGTACATAACACTTACAAACACGTTTTTTTATTTTGATACACCACCCATGGTGAAGGGTTGTTCCTAAGGATGTTAACAATATTCTGGACGCTAGTATTTTTCAGCTTCGTTTCTATAAGTGTCTGAATACGCTTTTTAACTTTCAACTAAATCTCTTTCGATAATAATTTAATAATAATGTTCTAGATAAGATTCAGTTCGTCAGCCAAGGTATTATTTACTATTTTTCCAGAATCAAATAACAACAATCGTAAGATTTTACTGCGTAGTTTTTTATATGTGTATATGCGTATATGTGTGCAAATATCAGTTCAAATCGAAGAAGAGAAGAAAAAGTCAATAAATACTCACATTCCCTATTTAATGTGGCTTTTTTGGAGAGAGAGCTGTTTAACTTTTTAATATTCTATTCTGGACGCTTATATTTTTCAGTTTCGTTTTCGTAAGTGTCGATTTGAATACGCTTTCAACTAAAACTCTTAGCATAATAATTTGAAATCAATATTCATGATAAGACTCAGTTCATCAGTCAAGTTATTTTGGGAAACTCTGTCAAGAAGAGTTGAGGTTACATACTGATTTTCCATATTTGTTTTAACCCCTCCTTTCCTAGTAGGTCTAGTACTTACCTTAAAACGCACCAGTATTCAACTTGACAGGCATTGGTATTCATCTTAAAGTAAGGCGGATCAAATTCAAACTTCCCGTGCCATTTTATTTTTGGCTTAGTTATACATCAATAGATAGAGCTCGACAAGCTGATCAAGAATATCTACGTTCTAGCTATAAAAAAATTGGTTTCTCAATGAAAAATCTTCAAAATACTTGAGGGGTGTACAATTTCGAAAAATCCTCCGGTTTCAAAAGAATTCAAAGTATTTTTTTTTTTCGTTCTTCTCACCTTTCAAAAATATTTTTTTCAGATTCAGTATTAGACCCTGAATATGAGAATGATGCTTGATCGAGGTTGACGTCATGACATCAACCTCGATCAAGCATCATTCTCATATTCAGGGTTTAATGCTGAATCTGTAAAAAAAATATTTTTGAAAGGTGAGAAGAACGAAAAAAAAATATTTTAAATCCTTTTGAAACCGGAGAGTTTTTCGAAATTGTATACCCCTCAAGTATTTTGAAGATTTTTCATTGAGAAACCAATTTTTTATAGCTAGAACGTAGATATTCTTGATCAGCTTGTCGAGCTCTATCGATTGATGTATAACTAAGCCAAAAATAAAATGGCATAAGACGTTTGGATTTGCGCCTTATAACTAAATGAAAATGTTATTAGCAACCGCATAATCAAGGTTAGAAAATAAATCAGAGTTGAATCATTACACCGAAAAATAAAGATTAATTTATTTTTTATGAGTTATGCTCAGTTAAACTATTAAATGAAGGGTATAGGAGTTTCACAATTTTAGCCCTAATAGCGGCTGCCCTGCCAAGGCTTTTTACTATTTTTTCAGAATCAAATAACAACAATCGTAAGATTTACTGAGTAGTTTTTTATATGTGTATTTGTGTGTATGTGTCTGTATGTGTGCAAATATCAGTTCAAATCGAAGAAGAGAAGAAAAAGTCAATAAATACTCACATTCCCTATTTAATGTGGCTTTTTTTGGAGAGAGAGCTGTTTAACTTTTTAATATTCTATTCTGGACGCTGATATTTTTCAATTTGGTTTTCGTAAGTGTCGATCTGAATACGCTTTCAACTAAAACTCTTAGCATAATAATTTGAAATCAATATTCATGATAAGACTCAGTTTATCAATCAAGTTGTTTTTACCATTTTTCGTGTCTAGCTAATGAAGACTTTTTTCTTGAAATTGTCAACTAAATTAATTCCTTCTATCTGTTAATAGGATTGAAATTATTAAATCAACCGTTGGAATAGGTCAGAATTTTGTCGATTTTGTATAAAAACAGAAGTTTTCACCGATTCTGACCAATTTCAACGATTAATTTAATAATTTCAATCCTATTAACAGAGATACATGAAACGAAACTGAGTTTGTCTCATAGAAATACTTGGTAGACATTTGGAATTCTTATTGGCGAAAAATAATGATCTTTTAAGTATCCACTTAGAATTGTCGCATTTCTAATGAATGATACTCATTAATGTTCATTTTTCGTCTGATCGTTCGACCAATGAATTTTAATTTATTATCAGATTTATACATCTCGTATTTATAAACATTCAGTTTTAAAAGAATTTTATCTTAAAAAAAAAACTGTGGGATATATTATACAGTCATTATATGACACAAACAAAAGACAAACAGAATAAAGTCTAAAACAAAACGAAAAGAATTTTAAATCAAACTATCGCATAAATTATATAACTATCTTTTTAAATTGTACAAAAGAATAAAATATAGAGCGTTCAAACTAACAATACTAGTTTTATGATTAAATTTTACACTCCTATACTTCTCAAGATTGAGAACAACGAGAATTATATAAAAGAAAAGAAGTGAATTTAAATAATGTTAATTTTTGTGTATGTACATATGTTATAATGTATGGGAATTAATAAGAAAATACGTTTATTAACAAGAAAAATAGTTGTTATTGAATGCTATTTATATTTATTCTAAATTCGTTCATCCTAGACAAAAAAGAAAAAAGATTTTTCAGAGACATTTGCAATCGACAGAAGATCTGATGAATGAAAAAATGACTATTTTGAAATCTTAACTTTATTTCTACTATTATCCGTTCGATGTGATATCTGTAAATCTCTTTTACATTAAAACAACTATAAAATTAAAACTTGATTCAGTTATCCTCACCTGAGATAAAAAAACAATATTTTTCTCCCAAAAGAAATCGCTCACAGTATACTATTGATTTGGCGACAAATTCTATTGTTTACTATAACATTAAAAAATTATAACATTTTGTGTTTCATTTAAGTATGTTAGCATGTTTATTGACTCTATTGTATCTAAAAATATAATTTTTAGAGCTATTATTCCTACTACAAATTCTTCTTATCTATTTAGCACCGGTTCACAAAGTCAAGATCTTAGTAGTAGCAGTAATACAATTATTCCTTTAGCATCTGATGATGAACATAAATCACTATTAGCCGAATTCGATCAATTACGCAAAAGTTATCAAACACTATTAAATTCTTACCGTCAACAACAAGCAATAATGTCACAAAGATCGACATCATCGACGAGAAGAACGCACATAACTCACAGTGTAGATTCGGGATTAGAAACAACGGGTGGAACAACAACATTTAACACATTAGATACACGAGCAATCGAACAGAGAGGTTATGAAACTGGTCGACGTGAAAGAGAAAACGAAATCCAGGCGTTACAAGAACACATTAAAACTTTAGAAACAGTATGAATTGTTTATATTAGTTTATATCTATATTTCTACATAATCCGATAAATTTAATTTTATTTATTTCAGACTTTAAGACATAGTCAAATTGATCAACAAAGTGCTGAAGTAAGAACAGACTACGGGCTAATTTAATTTTTGGATAGTTAAAGAATCTTTGCTACCTATTTGTAAAACTTTTTTTAGCCGTTGGTTGCAAGAATTAGTTTTCATTACCCGATGGTAAACGCTCTAGTTCCTAGTGTTAAATTTTTACTTTTTGCTTTAATGCTTGTATACATATTCTGGTAGAATAGTATGTGATACTGTATTAACGGTTGCGTCAATGTTGAAACGACAACCTTTCTTCCGTTTAGCTTACATTCAAAACAATTTTAACAGTTTTGTTACTGCGCAAACTTAGACATAAATAATATCAATCTATCTTTAGCTAACAGTGCTCCTATTGAATCACCTAAGAGAGAGAGACTTCTTATTATGTAGCTACAAGATTAGATAGAAACAGACAAAACTGTTATGAAGATAATAGGAAAAATTAAGAATGTAGAAAGTATTGATTCCCATTGATGTACTCAAACGATTTCGTTTACTAGCTGTTGCTTCTTCGCTTTAGAATAAAAATTATTTATTTGAAAAATTACTTATATAGTTCTTATCGATTAATACGAAACTTCTATTCTTAAACGCATATTTTTCTTTGCTGCTGCTAGTTGAACGTATTTTTACTTTTTTGGCTTCTTCTATGAGAACTTTATTAGTTTCACGATTATAATATCGAGTCTATTAATTTTTTATGATATTTAGGCTAAGTTTTCTTTTATTTAAAGTCACTTTTTATTGAATACGTACATATTTCAAAGTTTTGTTATTTCCAGAGACGATAATATACATATACATATTTAAATTTTATTCATAGGGATGATATTCTTGTCCAAGCTGAGTTTCTGACTTTATAATAGGAACATCTTCACAGACTTAAACAGTTCCAAATTAATAAAAGGACATGGGGCATACATGTGTTAGTTGCATACAAAAGAACTAGATTGTCGACCAGAGTCTAAGAATCGTTTCATTTGAGCGAATATAAAAAATGAGCTTTACTAAAACTGATTCATTTGTTTTCTGTTATAACATCAATCTTGCTCGAGTTTACATTAACAAACTTAATTTCTTATGTGAATGTGCTTAATTTTACATCTATTTTTATAAAGATTAACATCCAAAGTGCTAGTTCCAGTAGTTATGTTGAAAAATAAAGTTCGATGTTGACCTATTCTTTCTTTGTTTTTTTTTGCAGCAGGAGTCCACCACCAGTATAGATTACAGCGATGAATTAAGAGCTCGGGATACAATAATTGAGGTAAATGTGAAGAATTATTAGCACTAGTTAGATCAGTATCTATAATTTCTTTATGTTTTTAGGAACTTAAACGATCGATTAATTCAACAACAGAACATTTACGTAATTCGGTTCTAGTGGCACTACCACCGGCGAATATTCCTGATGATGTAACAGTGCAGAATTATAAGAATGTGGATAGAAAATGTGGCTCTCATTCTTTTTTTAGAGCAGTCGACGTCGAGTAGAAGAATTACAAGACGAAGTACAAACACATTTAAAAACCATTGAGGTAGAGATAGTTTAGTAGAACTTTGTTCTTTAAAGTGCAATTTATTTATTATTTGTAGACATTAAGAGTAGAATGCTCTGATTTAAGAAGTTCAGAACAAAAATTAAGATTGCAAATTGATCAATTTGTATCCGCACTCCGCGTATCCGTAGCATTTGACCGTCATGGGGTAAGTAAAATGCTTTGTTTTACTTAGGACGTTACAAAAACCAGAGATTTCACATAATTTTATAAAACTCCTGTTAATAAAAATGAATAAGGATGTAAGTTTAGATGTTAGAAAAACAATACAGTCGAAAGAAGAAAATATATCAAGTTTTTATTCATCATATTTCTGTTGTTGAAGAAAAATATTTCGAGAGATACCGGGAAAATATACTGTAGATACGTTAGATTTCAAAAAAATTTTCTAAGGAAAAATAATATTATTTGGTAATTTTAATTTTGAAATAGTAGTTCACATTTCTTTGAATCAATGTCAGATACAACATATATAACTCACTTTTTGCATATGAAAAATAGAATTTTCTCTAATCCCTCCCTGTATACATTGATAAATTTTGTACGCAACATCGTCTACATGAAAATATTTTTCTTTGTAGTAATGTAGAGATTTGAAACCTCTTATTATTTTTTTTGGTGAGGATTATTTACTATTTTTTATCGCTCAAAATCTAAATTTATCCCAAACTTTTGAAACACATGTTATTTGACTCAGTTTTTGACAGTGACTTTGAGCATGACTTTGGTTTTGCGAAAAAACTTGCTATAGCTCGATGTACTCTGTTCAACCATGCCAAATAATATGAAAAAACAACAACATTTTGTTGTCTGTTTGAATTTTCGGCACTTTATATACCATACGAAAACCCTGAAAATTTTCTACAGTATTTGTTTCAATATTTATTTGCTGTTATCAGAGACGTTCTAATTAAAAAGTAAGACAAAAATTATTAATCAATTAATTACAATGCAGTACTGTAAGAGTTCTTTTATATTTAAAAAAAATTGAGGATCCGATATTTCTGTTTACCAAGATAACTCTTAATCTGACGAACAGTTTAATATGTGACATGTTTCTAAATAGTTTTAATTTCATGAAGAAAGTAATCATACAAGCATCCGTAGTTCAACTTTCGCCAACGTTTTTTCCACTTGCTTCCCAAAAATAGATTTTACCGACATCTCTCTAGGCTTTCTCTCCAGTAATACTAAATACTGCATCTATAGTGGTATACTGAAGAAAACCTTTGCATATCAGTCAAAAGAGCAGAAAATGAGCTACGAACTGCTATAAAAGTTGAGTAGATAGCGGAATATTAAGCGCAATAAAGTGCTTCCGGGGACTAAAATTGATATCTAGTCGATTACATAGGTATATCAGACGTTGAGAAAAGCCATCGATTTTGTTCATCTGGCTATCCGCACTTTCGAAACACTAAATTAATCATTTTACAAGAAAAACATAAACTACTTGAAATATGATTCACTGATCATCTCCTCTACAACTCTGGATAACAATCTTACGATAGAATTCTATATAAGATTGTAAGCATGCTATAAATAAAATATAGCAAATAATAATCTTAAATAAGACCTAGGATTTCTGTCGTAGTTATATATAAACTTTCTACTGGTTCATATCATAGCATTGAATCTAGTAGGGTTCTGTGATACAAAACCTTCGAAGCAACATATAGAGCAGCAGCTGGAAAAGAATAATACAGCTGCATGGATATTATCTAGCAACTTAACCGTGAAGAAAAATAAGAGCTTTCAGAATCACTACTACGTCATAATAACCTCTTTTTCTTCTGTTTCAGAGCTCAGTTGTGCACGATGATTATCAAATCCGTCACATAAAAGTGAGTTATATTGTACTTTTTAAAGCATCTGTCACAATCTTTCTTCATCATCTTTAGGATGTAAAATCAGCTGTTGCTCAAGTAACCAAAAATCTGATGTATGACGCTGAAAATTTGACAAGTTTGACCAGTCGCGTAACAATCCTTGTTCAAGAACAAGAAGAGGTAAATTTCTAGCTATCTTCAAGTACTAATATCATCGTGAACCGCTGTATTTAGTGGCAAGGAAAATTACAGAGATTGCAACAACAAATAACACAAAAAGACGTTTACATTCAGGTACATTACTAGAAGATCCACCAACCTTTTCAACTCAGCATATACCCGAAACCAGTCTAACTAGGCAGTTGTGATGGTGCACATGAATTCTTATTTTAGCAATTAGAACGTCGAGAATCTGAACTTGAATTGACCATAAAGCAACGTTACACGGAAAGAATTAACCGACTGGAGCTAGAATTAGTTGAAGTAAGACACTAACACAAGACTCTATAGAACTACATTTCTCGAGATCTTCTTCATTTCTATAGGAAAGAAGCCGATTCGAATCACAGCTACTGGTAAGTCAATGCTGTCTAAAATCGGTATAGCAAAGTGAGCTTCATTTATGTATTAAATAGTCCTACAAACAACAGATCGAAGTTTACAAATTAGATACACGAACAGTAGAACTGGAGCGAGAACTTCAGGTGAATAACATAGCTGATAAATATTCCACTTGGAGTCTACCACGCGTGTAATATTTCAGAGCTGGAAAGAGAAATATCAGCGACTCGAATTTGAAGTAAGTTTTCGGAAAAATGAATGTCGATCTAGCAGACTGATCAGCACAAAAATAATGACACACCAAAGCTATTCTCTCTTTTGTAATAGGAACACCGTGAACTACAGCTTGTACTTCAAGTAAGTCATTATTCACTCATCCATCAGCATTTTTAATAATATAACATTGATGAAGAACTTTTTCATTTTAACAGGAAAAGAGTCGATTAGAATCACAACTAATGGTAAGTCAATGTAATGGCGGATCCGGCCCACGGTACGTGCGGCCGCTCGTACCTTTTAACAAACAAACTGTTTTTTCCCAGCAGAACTCTCTTAGAAAATATGCTTCTATGACGACCGCACGTACCAAAGAATAATTCTGAATCCGTCACTGAGTCAACGCAGTTTTCTAAAAGTGGTGTGCTAATATGAGTTTCATTTATTTGTTATACAGTCGTATAGAGAACAGATCCAGGTACTCGAACGAAGCACGCAATCAATCGAATTGGAAAGAGAAATTAAGGTAAGTCGTTTGGCAGCTGAACAACTTTTTCTCTAATCATGTCTGATATGCAACCATCACCACTCTTCTTTTGCAGACATACAAAGAACAACTTCGTCAAATTCAGTACGAGCACCAACAAGAAACTGAATCGCTTCGATTGCGTTACAATGAGGTATGATTAACTCTACACATGTGATGATTCTTTAACTTCTGATCGTCCGATAGGAACGAAGAAGTTGGGAGCAGGAAATTCGTTCAAAAGATCAAGAACTGACGGTAATAACATAGCTTATAAATATTCTACTTGGAGTCTCCTATATGTGCAATATTTCAGAGCTGGAAAGAGAAATATCAGCGATTCGAATTAGAAGTAAGTTTTCGGAAAAATGAATGTCGATCTAGCAGGCTGATCAGCACAAAAATAATGACACACCAAAGCTATTCTCTCTTTTGTAATAGGAACACCGTGAACTACAACTTGTACTTCAAGTAAGCATTGTTCACTCATTCATCAGCATTTTTAATAATGTATCATTGACGAAGAACGTTTTCATTTTAACAGGAAAAGAGTCGATTAGAATCACAACTTGTGGTAAGTCAATACTTTTTCTAAAAGCGGTGTGCTAATGTTAGTTTCATTTATTTATTATACAGTCGTACAGAGAACAGATCCAGGTACTCGAACGAAGCACGCAATCAATCGAATTAGAAAGAGAAATTAAAGTAAGTAGCTGTCAGTTGAACAAAAGAACACCTTTAAGTTGTTGTCTATTTTTTGACCTCCTTTCCATGGTGAAAACACCCGATGAAAGTGATGTCGGTTTTCATGCTCGGTGTCTTGCTATCAGTTTAAAACCTGGTGTAACACCGGGAAGTAAAACTTTGTATGCAAAACCGTGTACCTTCAAGAGGAAGATAAAAGAAACTACTCCTTGAAAAATCGAACATGGGATGCTCGACCAATAGGAATTATTAGAACGAGGAACAACCCATTGATCTCAGAAACTTTAGAGGGCGCACTCATTCTGTTTTCGGATAGATTTCAGTAAAAGGTTCGACACATTATAAAAACTTGTCAGCTGAAGGAAACAACACCTTGAAGTTGTTGTATATTTTTTCACATTTTTTACTCAATAATGTCTGATGTGCAACCATCATCACTCTTCTTTTGCAGACATACAAAGAACAACTTCGTCAAATTCAGTACGAGCACCAACAAGAAACTGAATCGCTTCGATTGCGTTACAATGAGGTATGATTAACTCTACACATGTGATGATTCTTTAACTTCTGATCGTCCGATAGGAACGAAGAAGTTGGGAGCAGGAAATTCGTTCAAAAGATCAAGAACTGACGGTAATAACATAGCTTATAAATATTCTACTTGGAGTCTCCTATATGTGCAATATTTCAGAGCTGGAGAGACAAATATCAACGACTCGAATATGTAAGTCAATGCTGTTCTAAAAGCGGTGTACCGTTGTGAGTATCACTTATGTATTTTACAGTCGTATACTCAACAGATCGACGTTTACAAATCAGATACACGAGTAACAGAACTGGAGCGAGAACTTCAGGTAAATTAGTCTAACATGCGTAAATGAGTCTACCACGCGTGTAATATTTCAGAGCTGGAAAGAGAAATATCAGCGACTCGAATTAGAAGTAAGTTTTCGGAAAAATGAATGTCGATCTAGCAGACTGATCAGCACAAAAATAATGACACACCAAAGCTATTCTCTCTTTTGTAATAGGAACACCGTGAACTACAGCTTGTACTTCAAGTAAGTCATTATTCACTCATTCATCAGCATTTTTAATAATGTATCATTGACGAAGAACGTTTTCATTTTAACAGGAAAAGAGTCGATTAGAATCACAACTTGTAGTAAGCCAATGCTGTTTTCTAAAAGCGGTGTGCTAATGTTAGTTTCATTTATTTACTTTACAGTCGTATAAGCAACAGATCGAGGTTTACAAATCAGATACACAAGTAGTAGAACTGGAACGAGAACTTCGAGTAAGTAACGTAGCTGATAAATATTCTACTTGGAGTCTACTATACGTGGAACATTTCAGAGCTGGAAAGAGAAATATCAGCGACTCGAATTTGAAGTAAGTTTTCGGAAAAATGAATGTCGATCTAGCAGACTGATCAGCACAAAAATAATGACACACCAAAGCTATTCTCTCTTTTGTAATAGGAACACCGTGAACTACAGCTTGTACTTCAAGTAAGTCATTATTCACTCATCCATCAGCATTTTTAATAATATAACATTGATGAAGAACGTTTTCATTTTAACAGGAAAAGAGTCGATTAGAATCACAACTTGTGGTAAGTCAATACTGTTTTCTAAAAGCGGTGTGCTAATGTTAGTTTCATTTATTTATTATACAGTCGTACAGAGAACAGATCCAGGTACTCGAACGAAGCACGCGATCAATCGAATTGGAAAGAGAACTTAAGGTAAATCGTTAGTCGGCTAAACGAAACAGCACGTTGCTTATTTTTTGACATGCTTTATACAGTGAAAAAGCCTGATAATAGTCATGACGGTTTTATTCTCGGTTTCTCGAAGTCGGTTTAAAACCGGGCAGTTTAAGCTACAGTGCAGAATTTGACATGTCTGTTTTAGATAAATGAAGAACAAGATGCCCGCTGATTTTTCATTTCTTTGCATTAAACTTATGTTGTTTAATTAGGAAGACTTTCTGATACACTATTGGCTGAAACTGCGGATTTTGTATGAACTTTGAAACTAGCAAGCATGAGTAACTCTTTCACGGTTTGCTTCTTTACGCTTTTGTTTTCATTATTTTCCTTTGGCAAACTGTCGATCCACGATTTTGTTTCGTTATTACAGTTTTATGCCGTGCGATATTTAGTCATCGCTATAATTTCATAGTTCTGAAACTGACGGTTTCATTTCTTACGGTCTCTTTCCACCTTATATTGCACATGTCTGATGTGCAACCATCACCACTCTTCTTTTGTAGAGGTTCAAAGAGCAATTTAATCAGATTGAATACGATCACCAACGAGAAATAGAATCGCTTCGATTGCGCTTTCAAGAAGACATCCGTTCAAAAGATCAAGAACTGACGGTAATAACATAGCTTATAAAT